TGCTGGGAATGGTGCTGAGATGCCATCACGGGGTGGTGGGAGCCCCTGCTGCACCCCAGGCAGGAGCTGTGGGAGGAGAACGTGTCCATCCCAGCACTGCTCTGCCACCCCCTCCTCAAAGACACTGCTCCTCACAGGGCAGCTCCAGCCACGGGGGAAATGGGAATAAAGATCATGAGACCAGAGGAAGGAAAGGGACTTCCAGCTCCCTAAGTGTTGTGGTTTGAGGCTTGGAATGGGGGCATGACCTTCCAGCAACTGGGAGGACCCCGGGTGGGGGTGAACCATTGTATTCCCTCCCCCTTCCCACACACACTCTGATAAGAGGCAAGAAGTGGGTTCTAATTTCACTCCTGCCTTGGAGCTCAGAGAGGGAAGTTCTCCTTTCACTCCGTGGGACCCTGGAACCATTTCTGAGGGTTTTGTATATTTTATTTTTTGTATTTTTCCCCTAATCTTTGTATATATTATTTTCCTTACCTCCCTTTTTCATTTTCTGTTCCTCGTTAAACAATATACTTCATTTTTTTCCCAAAAAAATCTCTCTCTCGGGGGGGGGAGAGGTGAGTACATAGTTCTGTTCCATGTGGGTCCTGCCCTGAACCCCTTTTTACACAGAACCAGGACACTAGGACAAGAAGCTTCACTCTTCCAGCCTGCTGGGAAGAAGAAAGGATGACTCTCCAAGCACAGCATCCCCTCCTGAGAGGGTTTGGTGAAGGTCACGTCCTCATCCCTGCTGCTGCCACAGCAGAAATCCTGACAGAGGTGTGAAAGCAGCAGCCACAGACCCCACCCCCTCCTACCCCTCCCCAGTGCTGCTGCTTCTGGTGAAGCTTCAGCAGCCACGAGTGATTGAAGGGAAGTGGGAGCACCATGGCCTTGCAGGTTTCTGTGTCAGATACCCCTGACTCCTCTCTCTGATCATCTCTTTACAGCAAAGATTGGCCCAAGAAGGAGGAGCAACTAAAGCTTTAGCAGTCCTGGTGGTGAAAGCTTTAACAGAGATCTTTTCTACCTGACTTTGGAGGTGAGGAGGCTTTAGCAGGTGTCCTTCAGTGATAACATGATTGACTCCATCTCCAACATCTTTTGATATGGCAGAACATCATCAGTTGTCTCACAGAGAGATGGGCAAGACCTGACAACCTCGTGTTTAAAAAAGTGAAATTGTATAGAAATACTCTGGTTTTTATCACTTAAATGTGTCCTTAACCTTTTTTCCTGCCCCTGCTTGCCTTACTCCTCGTGAGGTACCTCCCTGCTGCCCCAGCAGCTGGTCCAGGGTGGGATGAAGCTGCTGAGTGGCTCCTTTTCCTCCTGAAGACCAACCACCCTTTCCCTCTGGTTGCTGGGACAGGCAAGCACCAGCTGCCCAGGGAATCTCTCTTCCCAGCACTGGAAGAATTCCTGAGAGCTTTCCATGCCACAACCTCCTGAGCAACACAGGCAGCCTGGTGCCCAGCAGAAGAGGAGAAGGAATGATGACCCACTGCAAGAAATCCTTCTCTATGGAAGCAACCATGAGTCACAGGAGCTGCCAGCTGGCCTGAGGAATAACAGCAGCAGTGGCCTGGACAGCAGCAGCTGGAGCTCACAAGGGAGATTGTCCCTCTCTGGAGAGCAATACACTAAAGAATACACACAGCCATGGGAGCAAATCTCTCTCCTCTGCTAGAAACCTTGGGGGTGTGTTGGCAAGGGCACCAAATCTCCAAAAATGCCAACCAGGTGCTGTAGTAGGTTGGCAGTGGCCTGGACAGCAGCAGCTGGAGCTCACAAGGGAGATTGTCCCTCTCTGGAGAGCAATACACTAAAGAATACACACAGCCATGGGAGCAAACCTCTCCCCCCTGCTAGAAACCCTGGGGTGTGTTGGCAAGGGCACCAAATCACCAAAAATGCCAACCAGGTGCTGCAGTAGGTTGTACCACTGTCCTTGTGTGTGCAGGAGCCTCTGCCCCAGAGCCAGGAGCTGTGCTGAACATCAGCAGGGGGTTCCACGTTCATCTCAATGAACAATTGCTACTCACTGGTTTTTATAGAAATGTTTTGGGTTGGAAGAGACCTTTAAGACCGTGTCCAGCCACTGCCCCATGTCCCTCAGCACCACATCTCCATGGCTTTTAAATCTCTCCAGGGATAAGGACTCCACCACTGCCCTGGGCAAACCCATCACCCCTGGACAACCCTTTTAGGGAAGAAGTTTTTCCCTAATATCCAACCTAAACCTCCCCTGGGACAACATGAGGCTGATTCCTCTTGTCCCATCCCTTGTTCCTTGGGAGCAGAGCCCGACCCCCACCTGGCTCCAGCCTCCTGTCAGGGTGTTTTTGAGAGCAAGGTCTCCCCTGAACCTCCTTTTCTCCAGCCTAAACAACCTAAAAGGCTAAAAGCCACCAGACAGCAGAGGGGTGAATGCTGCTGTTGGCCCAACAGACATTTCACCTAGCTGTCCCACGTCCAGCAGGTGCTCCACCTGGTGCAGGGATGGGTTTCAGCTCAGAAGTGGCTCTGCCTCCTTGCAACGAGGGCAGAGCACACCAGGGAGCTGTTGCCTGAGCTAGACTGAGAGCTGAGCTCTTCAGGCATTGAGGCTTTTAAGATTTCTGTTTATTATTGATCAGGTAACGTAAAGAGGACGTGGAGTTGGACATTGTGTTGTTTGACCTGGCTGGAGATCAGTCCTGTTCTCTTCTAGATTTCAACTTCAGTCCTGTCATGTGTCATATCAAAGTCCTTTTGTATTGCACAGCAGCACAGGCAGGGAGTGAAGCTGGATAAACACAGTGCTAGGGCTGGAAGCTGAACAAGCCCCTGTGAAACCAGTGTGGCATCAAGCTCTGGGAGGCTGACTAGATCCAAAGAATCAAAAAAATTATGGTGTATTGCCTTGGTGAGGAGGAATAACAGAGAGATGTGTCCTTGTGCTGCTCATCTGCTTCAAACCTCACGCACTGCTTTGATTTCTTTTACCTGATCTTTACCCAAACCTCTGTAAATTCAGCAATAGTTGAAAACAAGGGGAAAAACAGCCAAAAAACAGGCTTAGTTGGAGCCTACACACGTGAGCATGATCAGAAACATCTCCTAAGGCATCGTTAGGAGTGTCCAGGCACGAGAGCATTTCCCAGCAGCAGTTTTGTTTTCCCAGCTTGGTGTTCAGGTATTTGCCAACAGCACCAGCTCAACCCTGGGCTGTGGTCCAAAGCCACCTTCCCAGATCTGCACCTTTGGGGGTCACAGGGAGCTGCTCAGATGACAGCACGAGAGAAGTTTGGTTTCATGCTGTGATGTTTGTTGGGTTTTATCTTCCTTTTTTTGTCCTGAGGGGCTGTTTGGGTCCTGCTTGTGGAGCTACAGCCCATCCATCCCCCGGTGAGGAGCTCTGCATCCCCAACCCCAGTCCTTGTCCATGCTCAGCAGAGGGGTGGGACTGCTCCTCTGCAGAGCATCTTCTGCCCTGATGGGCTTGGGAGCACACAGCAGCTCCTGGTGTGGGAAGGGCAAACGTGGGACACACATCCCACCCCCACGAGATGTCTTCCTGGGGGACTTCAGGTGTCTTCCTGCTCCAAGAGCTGCCTCTACCTGCTTGGGATGCCCAACTGGGGGGTTTCTACCTCTCTCTCAAGATGTATTTGCCTTTCCGGGCCAGGTTGCTGCTGAAGTGGATGGAGAACCAAAGGAATGAAGTCAGGAACATCCCATAAATCTAAAAGGAAACAAAAGAGATGAGCACACAATTAAATGCTGAACCAACGACGATGCTCCAAGTGATCCCCAAATGTTGCCTGTTCTTCTTGGCCCTTCTGAATTTATATATCAGGATGTCACATTTTTCCTCAGCAGAGTTGTTCCCCAGTAAAACAAACACCAATTCCAACAGGAGAAAGAGAAAAAAAAAATCCCAACACGTGGTGAAAGCATCTGATTGGAATTAGCACAGCACAGCTCAAACCCAGCCCTAAAAATAGCAAGAAACCAAACCAGGAAATCCAGATTTCAAATTCCTGCCTCAAAACGTTCCCCTGTGCAAACAAACCCCATCTCCCTCCTAACAGCTTTCTGTAAAAACAACACAGGGAGGAGAAAAAAAACACCCAAACAAACAACAAACCAAAACCCCTCCTGTATTTTTCTTTTTTGGAGTAAAGAAAAACCCAACAGAACAAAAAAGCCCTGACAAACCCCAGCCCCCACCCCATGCCTGTGCACAGCTGGGAGTGCAGAGGACACTGTGTTTTGTAGAATTATAGAGTGATTAGAGTTGGAAGGGACCTGAAAGAACATTTTCCCAACCCCCCCCCTTGCCATGGGAAGAGACACCTCCCACTAGACCAGGTTGCTCAAAGCTCCATCCCTGCTGTTCTTGAACACTTGCAGTGCTGGAGCATCCACAGCTTCCCTGGGCAACCTCTGCTAGCTGAAGAACTTCTTCCCAACATCTAAATCTAAATCTAAATCTAAATCTAAATCTCCCCTCTTCCAGTTTGAAACCATCACCCCTGATCCCATACTGTGATATTCAGCCTGGTGAATCCAGCAGGATTTGCACAGGTAAATCCAGGGTAAAGCTGGGGGGGATAACAAAGGGTCTTTCCTAAAATTCTGCCTTGACCTGCCAGTGCCTTTGCTCAGAGCTGGATCTGGGGACACGTGTGCATGGTTGGCCGAGGGCCAGTGAGATCAGAGCAGCTCTAGCCCTCCTCACAGGCTTCCTTTGCATCCTGCCATCACAACAGCGAGGCAGGCAGCCAGGTTTCCTCTTGCACAGGCTTCAAAGACCTTATCTGGTCACTGCATCAAGCTGGGACAAAAGATCTAGGTAAGAAAAATGCTCCTGCTTCTGGCTGAGTGGAGCTGGGGGGAAAGTAGAAAGCAACACCAAATACTTCACAGAGACTTCACATCTCTAGCCCCATAGCAATGCCTGATGCTTCTGCTCGTTTACTACCCCCAGCATTAAATACAAAAGTGTTTGTTCCTCTGGGATTTGCTGAGATGGAGAAGAATCTGCTAACCCATCATTGTGCCAAGGAGGACACGAGGAGCCAAGCAACCTCCATTCACTCAGGAAAGGTTGGCCCAGCTGAGGAGCAGCAGGGAGGTATCACAGCAGACCAAACCTGCTGGTGCTCAGCAGCTTTCAAGACCTTCCAAGCCCTGGCAGTGCAAAGTGAGTCCTGGTGGGCACTGGGCAAGGAGAGACAACAAGTTTCTTAAATTATGAAGCTTTTTCTGCAGCTCCTTTCCCTGCCAGCTTCTCACCTGATCCACAAGCCCTGTGCCAGCCTCTCCTTTGCAGGAGAAGACCTGCAGGCAAGCCTGGGCAGATGAAATGCAGGCAGTGCTGCAGCCTGCTCCTGCTGCTCCTCACTGTCAGCTGCCAGGCTTAGTTTGGGTAGAAAACCCATTTTGTGAGCCTAGTCCTGCAGGAAAACCCCTCCAGCCACCAGCCTGGCCCAGCCAGGTCCTTGCCCTTCCTTCATTTCCATGGTGGAGGCTACCATCACTTGTTTCTCTGCTGCTGGCCCCTAAATTTAACCCCCAGAAGCTAGAGTGTGGACTGATTTGGGGTGTGCCTGCCCCCCTGGATCCTGCCTCTTGGAGCCCCAAGGCCATGGAACACACAAAGGTACCGTGAAGCCGATGGTGACGCCCAGCAGCGTGGAGACCAAGTCCATGTGCTTCTTCAGGAAGTCCTGGATCTCTTGCAGACAGTCCTGCCAGCAGAGAGACACCCCTTTGCAGCCCAGCAGCAGCTCCGTGGGGTATAATTAACATCCATTAGCCCTCAGAACACCAGCAGCCCCACGGAAATCCAGGTGACAACACGACGCCTGCGTTGTGGAATTCTTCTCGTGGTGGCTCCTCCATCCACCTCATGGAAGAGGAAGGCAGTGGACTTGATGGAGCTGCTGCTGGGCATCATCTTCCTGCCTCATGACTTTCCATTTGATTACCTGCTCGATGGCCTTGGAGAAAAGAATCACAGCAAATCCCCCACTTGCTGCTCGTGGGACACTTTCTAATCCTCAGAATCTAGTGCCACGTGGGGAAGTCCTACAAGGTTTTTGGAGCTCAGATGACATGCCCTTAATATTTTACATTCTCTGCACACAGAGATGAGGAGGAAGCTGGGGGGGAAGTGACAAGCTGCAAACACAAGCATTTTGAAGGAAACCACATCTGCAGTTCCAAGACCCACTGGGGCTCCTCCAGCAGGTGAGATGCCACCTCACTGAAACTACAAAACCCCAAGAGAACAACCCCCAACCCGCAGCAACCCCAAATGGTCATCAAGCCACTCTCCTCATGAACACTTCAAGACCAGTGAGGTACAAACAGTTTGGAAGTGGCAGCACAGCCCCACTGTGGGGAGAAGGAGACCTCTCCCTTACCCGTCCTGCATCTCGTGCCTGGCCAGGTGGGCACGTCCTGCTCTCCACGTTGGCAGTGTCCCCAAATGGAGAGTGCTTCCCACAGCACAGGAACTGGAAAAGAGAGAGGGAAGTCTGCCAGCTACCCACTGGAACCCTCCCCTCCCCACCAGCTCCTGTGGCAGGAGGTGCTGGTGATGGGCCACCACCACCTTTCCTCCCAGTTGCCCCAGGTAGGGACACACAGCCAGGAGCACAAGCACGTAGGTGAGCAACCAACTGCTGCAGCAATGGAGGTGAAATTCAGAGGAGATTGGACGGATCTGGCCCCAAATTGTCTGTCCCCCTCCAGGACTGCTGCCTGGGGTTGGGGCCAAGCCTTCATGGCCCACCATGGTCACAGCAGCTCTCATGGTGGCTGCTCTGGGAAACCAGGGGATGCTCATGGTGGTCCTGGTGCTTGCTGGGGGTGGGGGGTCCCCAACAACACCCACTGTGGAGCTGGCTAGAGCCAGGGTGAGCTGGCCAGCTTGGAGCTCCAGCAGAAGGCAAACAACAGTAGGAGTAGAAGGGTTGTTTCTGCATCAGTTGGAAGGAGCTAAACCAAGGAACTGATGAAGTGGGGTGTTGTGGCAGGTTCCCCTTGTCCAGGGGAACTCTGGGCATGCTGTGCTGCTCCACCGTGTTTCAGAGCAAGCAGAGGGGTCTCCTGTGCTGGTGGCATCCTGGGTGGTGGGTTTGTGGAGCTTGCTGCAGCCTCCAGCAGTGCCCAAGGCCACGGAGCCTCCAGGGCTCCTCAGCAGCAGGCTCAAGGGTAAACAGGAATAACCAAGTCTAAATACTTCTGCTGGTCAGTGTAGGATTCCCCACCTCTCTCCATCTGACTGGGGACACCAGAGAGGTGGATATCCACCTTCTCCTGCCACAGGTAGGGAGCACAGCAGAGGGCCTGCTGAGACAGACAGCATATATATGTCAGCTAGGGTGCAGAAGCTTTGGAGATCTTGCACCAGAGCGATGCTCAGGGAGGTGACATCTTTCCACCTTTCATCATCTGGTTGGTCAAAGCTGGGAAAGGAAGAGTAGGAAGGGAGAAGCAGACTCCATAGCAGGCTGGAGGACAAGTCCTGAGGGGAACGTGGTGTTGTACCATCCACGAGGCAGAGCACAAGCATCAGCCTCAGCCCCTTGTGACCACCAAGAAGATACCCCAGGGCAAGGTTGCCTGCTGAGGCTGAAAGATGACTTACTGCTTCATGGATGGCAGTCAGCTCGTGCCTCCTGAAGCTGGAGATGTTCCTCCTCACCTCCTCGTACACGAGGTCATACACATCCATCATGCTGTCCTCCACCTGCAAGGAAAGCAGAGATCCATGTGTGGACATCACTGACTGAGGGCATCTCTGGAGGGAAGTATGCTCCTCTCACAGCCCCCCAGAAGCTCTCCCAGGTCTAGTGAGACAAGCAGTGCAGCTATTCAATGGCCACCATGCAGCAGCAGGAGCTGGTGCACGACCCACCACGCACCAAGGGGCACGTGCAGCATGGTGGACCCCACAAAGAGGGGCTATGATGCTGCACGTGTGCCACCTTCTGCTCCACATGGACCCTTCAGCATCCCAACTGGGTCTCACCAGCTCATGGCTGGAGCTTTTGGCCAGTTTTGGGTCTTGGGGTAGAGAAAAACCCTGGTGCCTGTGAGCAGTGTGCCTCCAAGTCCTTCTTCTAGGTGGGGGTGACACCATCTCCCCGTCCTGATGGGTGACAGTGAGGACAGGCACACATGACTGTGGGATGCCAAAAGGAAGAGGTGAGAGGACCTCAGGTGGCTGGTGTTATCCCAGTGACAGAGGAGCTCCTCCAAGTAGAGCCAGAAAAAAAATAACAGAATGATTCAGTGATGAATCAGACCCTAAATATTAAGCAAACATGTGAGAACTCACAGCTTGACAGATCCCAGCCAGCTCCTGCTCGGGTTTCAAAGGGAAAAATATGACAATTGCCTTCAGCTCCTGGAGTCCAACCCTTATTTCTTCCTTTCATTTCCCCTTGGTTCCCTGGCAGCATCGATCCCAGCAGCCCTGCAGGCAGCACTTGGCTCTCAGGAGAGAAAATCGATGGGTGAGATGGAGAGGGGTGGCCGTGCCAGGAGGCACAAGCCCTCCAGAAGCAGAGCCAGCTCTCAGCCAGGCTCTTCAGCTCGGTCTTAAGGGGCTCTGCTTCAAAATTAGGGGGTGGAAAAGCCCAACGCTGTGTGCTTGAGGGCAGCTGAGGTCATCTGAGGTGCTTACATCCATCACTGCAATCTTGCTCTAGCCTGCACGGCTGTCAAAGCACCAGCAGCTAATGGAGGTGATAACCAAGGAGGGGGGAGAGTGAGGCTGGGATTACTCATATCCAGCTCGGCTCTGTGCCACCAGGGATAGAGTTTAAAAGCTCACCTCTGAAGGTTTTTTTGTGGCTATCAGCATGGCATAGACAAGGAAGGGTTTGGGGGCTTCTCTGCAGCAAAGCTGCTGTCCCCCCAGGATGCTCCATCACGGAGCCATCAGTAGGTGAGGCAGGAGCCACCCAGCTTTAACGAGGGGTCTGAGGATGGGCAGGGCACAGATATTCTGAGCCAAGGATGAAAATCCTCCATAGCAAGGTGCAGGATGCTGAGTTGTCCCAGAAGTGAGGAGGGAGGATGCTCCTTATCTCCCAGGTATCAAGATCTCCAGCAGACTCATGCACCGTCCTGAGCAAACCTTAAACCCCAATAAAAAAAGGAAAACATCCAAAGCTTTTCTAACTTCTTGTGGGCCACGGAATAGCTTTCCAGCAGCAGCAATTAAATAAATGGACTCAATAAAAAGAGCATCCATTTCCACTGAAGAATCGGATTAAGAATAATGAAAAGGGAATCATCTTTTGACCTCCTCTTGTGGCTTCGTGTTGCTGAGGAAGGAAGGAAGGACAGAGCAGCCAGCTTCTTAACCCAGGAGATGATTACCTTCTGAATATCCCAATTACAGCCTAAGAGGGAGGAATAAAAACTACTTTGTGCTGTGACAACGTGCATCTGGGTCTCAGTAAGGCGAGGGTGCTGCGTGTGCAGCTTTTGCCTTTTCATGTTTCTCCTCAGGCTGCTGAACTTCCCCCTCAACGCCCACATTTGGAGGACTTGGAAACAAAGTTGAAGAAGGGTTCAAGCAAGTTTATCCAGTCAAGCAAGAGTTCAAGAGGTCAGAGCCATCCAGAAGTTTAACTGCTTCTACAGGTCTGCTGAACGCTGGGCCAGGGAATGTTGGGCCAAGTAGTTTTAAGCCCTTTGGCTTGATTGGCCCCATTGCCCAAAATTTTGGGAAAACAGGCAAAAAATCACCTTTGACTGACGTGAATTTGGGAATGGATCTGGCTGCTGACTTGACCATGGTGTTGAACTTCAACCAAGACCTTGTGATCAACCACAAGAGGATCAAGAGAGGTCCTGTCTGAGCAGTGGTGGACCTCTGCACAGTCCTCATTATTTTAGGTAATTAGAGTCACACAATGACTCTACACATGGAGATTGTGGCTTCTTGAAGGGTAAGAGTGGACAGGAAAGCACTGAAGGAGCAAAATGCCCATAAAAAAAGCTATGGCAGAAAATTATTCCACCATTCCACAGCCACCTCAACTGGTGATGGTGCTGAGGGTAAATCTCCAGGGACACAACTGCTGAAGACTTAATTGCACCCTGCTCCTGAGCTTTTTTGGGAGCTGGCTTCTCACTTATTTACCAATTTATTTTCTTTTCCCATCTTGTCAAGCAGCCTCCAAGAACTGAAAGCACAAGGGATTAAATGGAAGATGATTTCCAGCAATAATTTCCTTTTAGAATGTGTGTCTGGGCAAGCCTAAAAGTACAATTTGCTGATTAGTCCTTCTCAGCATTTCTATCTCATAATTATATCTAGCTTTTATATCCAGCTATGATCCAAATACACTATTCAGAGCCTAGTAAAGGAATATCAAACTGCAAAACCATATTTAAAGAGTGATTTGACTGCAGTTGCTCCACGCTGTCTGATCTTTTGGGCTAAGATTGTTTGATTTTGGAGGGGAAAATTGCTGTCTTCATCCAACACGATGGTCTGGTTTTCAAAGATTAACAGCAGAGAGTTTTCAACATTTCAGTAGATCAGAAGTCAGCATAAATACTAAATAAATAAATAAATACTAAATCTTTGTGTTTATCACTGGCTGTTTCCTTCTGGTCAGGAGACACAGAGGATGGGAGAGGTCTGGTTTAAGAAGAGGAGACTACAAGAGCAAAAGATTGCATGAGAAAACCATCACCTCAGCAGCTTCTCTGCCTGGGATGGGCTTGTGTTCACCCTCAGAGCTGCAGCTGAGCTCTGAAGCACCCGTCACACGTGGCAGCAACTCTCCAGCCCAAAATATCCTGCCAACTCGTGCATGCCTAATGATGCCAAAAATAAAGCCTGAAAACACCAGACAGGTGGTTTCATGACCTGTCCTTCTTTGCCACAATATTTTATCCAGCTAGTGCAGATTTTCCCCTGTATTTTACTTTGATCTGAGACATAACACAGAGAAGAGCTCAACTGCAGCACTGCTTTGGACTCAGCCCCCCTCCTCCACAGATCCCCACCACACACTCCACTGATGGGCAACTTTGGGTCCATCACCTCAAAATAACTTTGCTTTTTCCATTTCTTCCACCAGATGTTGGAGAAAAAAGAGAACATTAAAAATACTCAGTGTGCTTCCTCTCATGGTTAAGCAACAAGATGCCCTTTGAGCTTGAGGGGTTATGGTGATACTGTGAATAGGAGGCTTTAAGGAAGCCCCATCCCTTAATTCAGACTGTACTTAGCCCTTAATGGACTGAGACAGGAGGAGAAAAAGTCTGTCTGGGCTTCTTCTCAAAAGGTTTCACACTTCCCCCCTCTTTCCTAGAGGCATCATTATGGTCAAGTGGATTTTCCTGTCCCTATGGGCATGCTGTGACCCACTTCTGGAGGAGGATTTCTGGGCAAAGCTCTCCCTTGGAAGGAGAATGCATCTATGATGCTCATCATGAAGCATCATCTGGGCTTTGGCTTAAGAAAAATCTCCAGGTTAAGTGATATGGAGGTCACACCTCCCAGAGATTCTTTTCCTGGAAGAAGCTGAGTGAAACGTTCTAGCTCTAAATTAGTCAAGTAATTGCTGCCTTCCATTTCTGTCTGCATTCCTTAATGAGGCATTCATTTAGGGACAGTGAAGAGGGGTTGCTGGATCCAACAAATGGAAAAACACCCCTGAGATGGATGCAGCTGACTCAACAGAGTAGCATTTTTCACTTAAACTAAAAGAAAGAAGGAATTTTAAGCCTGTTTATCATCCTCTACATCCTTCTCCCCCTACCAAGAAGCAGAATTTATGACTGCAGGAAGGCATTTACTCTAAAGCCATTAACGTTCTTGCCCTTGGCTATTAGAAACTAAAGCCAATTTTTTTAGTCTTGCCTCCTTCAAGAGCAAAATTGACATTTTTTTTTGACTGGGGTTCTTTATCAAGGATGATTTTTACCTGTCACTGGATTTGGAACAGGAAGCTCAGAGAAGGAGGTCAGTTTGCAGCTCCCTTTGCAAGCCAGAGGAGTCAATGGACCTCCCACTGGCAGTGAAGACCCATCTAGGCAACCTGAGCTGGTTGCTTGGCTGGATGTTGGAAAACTAATGTAGACTTGTACCCAGAACAATGATTGAGGCTTATTCTGTGAACCACCTTTGCAAGCCAGGCCAAAAATCCCTCCACGAAGCTGAAGCTCAAGGAGAATATCATGAAAGATGATGTCAGGGTTGTCTCAGAGGCAAGCCCACCTCTCTGCTTAGCAGGAACACTCCTGACATGGCAAGGAGAAGGAGAAGCATGGCAAGCAGAGGGAGGACCTTCCTCTCCTGTAGCTCCTCATGTCTTTGAGGTGCCAAACAGAGCACGTGTGCTTCAGCTTCAGAAGAAACTGCATCCTCAGCACCTCACTTGGAGACATTTTTGGTGTTCCCAAGGACGTGCTCACTAGAGTCACCCAAACATCCCTTCAGAAGCAGCTACTGCAAGACGCCCATGCTGTGCTAGGAACTGCAGATGTGAAACTGGAGTCAAGAGGTCAACTCCTCAAAATCCTTCCTTCTTCCACTAAGAAAAGCTCCAGGGCACTTTGCAACTTCTGCCTTCCCTCTCCTCCCCGACGTGCTCGTGGGCACGTGGTCACAGCCTGGCAGGAAGGGCTGAGGCAACTGCCTGGGCTTGGAAGAAGATGTTTTGAAGAGATGTTTGGGTTTTTGAAGAGATGATATCATTGCAGTGAGACAGAGAAGGGAAAACTGCTCTGGGTGCTTCAGCAGAGCAACTCCCACCATGTGGACTGAGCACGTGGTAAGATGTATATATTTACATAGGATCATAGAATTACAGAATCATTTTGGTTGGAAAAGACCCTTGAGAACATCAAGACCAACTGCTAACCCAGCTCTGCTGAGCCATCACTAATCCATAGAACCACAGAATGTCTGGGCTGGAAGGAACCTCCAAAGATCATCTAGTCCAACCCCCCTGCAATAAGCAGGGACATCTCCAACTAGCTCAAGCTTTTTTGGGTCCATTTTTCTTGGTCTGTTGGAATTTTTCTTGGTTGGTTGTTTTTTTATTTAACAAACTTTAATTATTTCAGTTCATGAAATAATTAAAAAGTTCATATTTCAGAACTGGAAAACCAACAAGCTGCCAAATGCCCCCACCGACCCTTTGTGCTCCCATCACTCAAGACACCCACAACCTTCATGAACCTCCCAACACTCAGAGGATCTCACTCATCCCCACACTCTCACCTGCACTACTCAAAACCAGTGCCAGGCAACTCTGCTTCCCAACACAAAGCATTAAAAACCATGGGAAATGCTTTTAGCTTATAAAAATTTGCCCCAACCCTGTCACCTCGGAGGTGGTGGTGAGCACCCTACAACCATGTGAAGGTTGGGTGTGCCCATGGGTGATGCTGACCATCCAAGCAGCCTCAGGTCCCATGGCTGGTGCTGCTGGAGCTGAGGCTCTGTGCAACAGGAACAGAAACACCAGGAAAGAATCATGATATTCCAAACACAAAAGGGGAGAGGGGTCCCCCCTGTTTTCTTTTTCCCATGAACTTCAGAGACCTGGAAAACTCGGTGCTTAAAGTGAGTGTGTGCCTGGCAGAAAACCAGCCAGAGCAAGGAGGACATCAGGTTATTCACAGGGATTTCAGATCACTGCTTTCTGAAAATACCCCTGAAAGGGCCCTGTGAGCAGCCACAGTCCTGATCCAGCCCCATTGAATCAAAAACCCAAAGGAAACTACCTGCATGCTCCAGAGAGGGTTTCAGAAAGCATCTGAACACACCTTCAGCTTGTCTTTAAGATCTCTAGAACTTCAGCTGCATTTCAGCAGTGCCTTCAGGTAGAGCCAGGCCAGACCCTTGAGGAGTTTGCCCCAAAATACAGCAAGAGACACAAACATACTCTGGAAACCCCCCCAGGCTTGGTTTGTCCCTAGAAGGACCTGTAGGATCCCATTGAAGAGATTACCTGGGAAGTTCTGGGTCACTCCTCCCATGCCTGCAGAAACAAGGGATGCACGTGCTGGTTTTGTGCACCCAAAGATGGGATTTGCCTTTTGGATGCCCAGGCAATGTTGCATCTGGCTTTGCAAAGGTGTTGGCTAGGAAGAAGACCTGCAGGGAGGAGACCTGCAAGCAGGAGAAGACCTGTGCTGATCCCACAGGTAGGGAAGGATGCTGGGAAGCTGCTCTTTGGAAGAACAGGCTCCAGTTGTAGCAACATTCATTATTTAGCAGCTGCAACTGTTAATCCAAACATTGCAGCCAAGACCCTGTTAGAAAATCACCATCTCACCACCCTGCTCACTCACAAAGCATAGAAAGCTCCATTTTCTCTTCCAAGCATGAGAAACCAAACAGGTCCCTTGGAAGAAGGTTTCAAGCAGAGCAAGGCTGCAGGAGAACCAGAATGTGCATGGGTGGCTTGTGTTCCCCACCCTTAGAACCCCTCATGTTTATTCTCCAAGTACAAGCAGTGCAGCCCAGAGAGGCTGAAGAGCCAAAAGAACCTTGGTGAGACCTCCTTTGGAAATCACCCAGCAACCTGAGAAACCACTGGATAACTAAGAGGTTGCACGTGGCAGTGATTTTATTTTCACTGGTCCCTGCTGCCATCCTCACCAGCTCATGGGGCTGCTGGAAGCATCTTCTAGACTGCTGCAGAGATGTGACATGTCTCCCTTCTGTCCTTCTCCACATCCTAGGTCCCACCTTCATTCATCTATGCTCAGAATGACTACGACACCAAACCCAAACAGACAGTGGTTTGTGGGAAAGCAGCTGCCTTCAGAAGTAACTTTGGAAACCAAGACTCAGCTCTTTGGCTTCAGGAACCAGAACTTTCTGATGTGACTGAAAACCTCATCATCTCCATGGTTGCCATGGCTGTTCCATCAAAGGTGTCCACACAGAGGTGTGTCCACCACCAGTGTCATTCCTCAGACAGGTTTGTGACACTTCCCTACCAAGACCACATCATCCAGCAAGGTCCCATTTTGACCAGATGGCCCATAGGGAGGGCAACCAGATGTGCTCCTCATCCTCCTGAGATCCTTCTCTGTGTTAGGTCAGACATGGAAAAGGATTTGCTCTCTCAAGTGATTTCAGGCTTTATACCCACTGGCAAGACAGGTGGAGGATCTAGGGTGGATCAAGAGGATCTAGGATGGATCAAGAGGATCTAGGATGGATCAAGAGGATCTAGGATGCTACTCCTACTTCTTCTTCCCCATTTTGTTCACCATCTCCTTTGCAGCACCTACCAGACAAACACACTTTGGGAATGGATTGGTTGTTAGCTCCTCATTAAAAGGGCTTTAATGCAGACAGATGGATGCAAAGCACCCTGAGAAGACAGTATGGAGGAGGCCTGGACCTCACAAAACCCATTGTCTGGCCATATGGATGGGTCAATAGAGCTGGAGATGCTGAACAGAGGGATGAAGCTTCTAGGGAAAAGGATGATGAATCTCAGGTTGGTGATTTCTGCATATCTGGTGAACATTATTTTAGGAATGAGGCTATGGTGACACTGAGTCCATCTGGCATAAAAGCAACTTGGAATTACATCTGTCTGAAAGAATTCATCCAGGAGCCACACAAGGTCAGAGAAGAATGGGAAATGAGAAGATTCACATTTTGTTTACAGTGTCCAGGCTTGGGAATAGCAAATATTTGCAAATAACTCCTTTTTTTTTAGCATGTCCTGCATAGCTTCTCTGAAAGAAGTGCTGCAAACAGGGCTCTGAAAGACTCAAAGGCAAGAAGGGCACTTGGCTTTCATGACATTCAAGCAACATTTCCACCTACCACCACCTGAAAACAACCAGCCAAACAATTTGTCAAGTGAATATCGAGCTTTTCCACCTCAGATCATTTTCTGGAAGAGATATCTTCTTTATGAAGGAAATTTAGATTGATTTTATTCCTTCAAACAAGAGGAGGAAACCACTGAGAGCACCTGCTGTGGTTTGGTGCAGGAGCAACCTCCCACTTCCTGGCTTGCTAAAGTTTTAAAGTCTAAACTTCTTTAAGTGGTTAATTTAGTTGAATTCCATTTCTGCTTGGGGAAAGGAGAGGAGACCCCCAGGGTGAAATGAAAATGGATTTCAGGAAACAGCCAAACTAATTCCAATGCAAAGTACACAAAGCTGTCCTCAGGCCAGTGAAGGTTTGGTGGTCCCCACAAAGAGGAAAGCATCCTCAGGAGCAGGATGGTGAGCGAGCCCCTCCAGGGATGGCAGCCCTTGAGAGGAGAAGGAAAAGGAGCCCCCATCCTCAGCAAACATCCCCCTTCATACCAAACAGGACATTTGTGGGGTGGGGTACTCCTGTAGCCAACTCAGAGCAGCTGCCCTGGCTGACTCCAGTGTGGTCCAAACCCAACTTTCTTGCAAATTTGGCCTCATACATTCTTCTCCTTCTGGTCCAGCGTGACAGGAACCCCAACCACCATTCTTCAGACTGGTGTTTTTACTGTCCCATTGCTGCTGTTTAATAAACACATCTCCTGGGTGTTCCTCCTGGCTGTTGCCAGAGACAACCTGAAGAGTCACAACCTGCCACTGCCTTTGACTAGAGCCTCCCAACTGACACCAGCAGGAGTTAGAGCTGGCTGGAAAGGACTTTTCAAAAGCCAAGCATCTCATTTAAAACAACCCAAACCAAACCATCCTCTGCAAAAAGAGGCATTTCCTCTCTTACCTCGGTGCCGTGTGTGTATCTCCAGCAGGCAGCTGGGAGCAATCCACAGAAGGCCAGAGCAAAGCAGAAAAATCCCTGAGGATAAAGAGGAATAATGCCATCAGTTCCAGCATGGGGAGAAAAAGACCCATTGGGAAACACCATTGGTGTTTCCATATGCAATATGTTCATCTGGGCAAGTTTAGTTAAAGCTAGAGCTAAACAGCACCTTCTTTTAATATCTTTTTACTTTCATTTTAATGAAATTAGTATTTCAATATAACATTGGTTTCTTGAAAGAAATTAGATGGATAATCATAGAATCATAGAATCCTTTAGGTTGGAAGGGACCTCCAAGATCATCAAGTCCAACCATCAAGCCAACACTAAGTCCTCTGCTAAAACAGATCAGAATCTGTCAGGGCTGGAAGGGACCCCAAGGATCCCCCAGTTCCAACCCCTCTGCCATGAGCAGGGACACCTCCCACTAGATCAGGCTGCCCAGAGCCTCCTCCAGCCTGGCCTTAAAGACCCCCAGGGATGGGGCCTCAACCACCTCCCTGGGCAACCCATCCCAGGGTCTCACCACTCTCATGGGGAAGAACTTCTTCCTCACATCCAGCCTGAATCTGCCCACTGCCAGCTTTGCCCCATTCCCTCTAGTCCGGGCATTACCCAATATCCTAAAAAGTCCTTCCCCATAATACTGGGATTCTCCATCAGGAGCCCTCTAATTACACTGTGGTCATCTGAAGGGGTCAGCCTGGCCAAATTCCTCTTGGAAAAAAGAAGAAAGAAGGAAAGAAAACCCTTCTATTTACAGTATGTTCCTCTTCTGCAGCAGGACCATGCCCCAGAATATCATCTGCTTCCTCATGGGGTTCAACCCCCGTGTTTAAAACTTGGCTGTTCATAGAATCATCAAATGATTTGGGTTGGAAGGGACCTTAAAGATCATCTCATTCCAACCCCCCTGCCATGGGCAGAGACACCTCCCACTAGATTTTGCTCCAAGCCCCATCCCCACTGGTCTTCAACACTTCCAGTGATGGAGAGGGGAAAATCCACATAAATAATCCATAAAGATGTGAGTAGCTGGGATGGAGAGCAACCTGCTGTGGGAAAGGAGCTGGGCTTTGCTGGCCCTTGAATCAGCACCATCCCCCTCAGACAACAGGATGACAGAAACATAACCAAGGCCAACAAGTGACCCTGAAGTGTCTAAACAATACCAGCAACGACACAGGAGGCAACTTGACTTTTGTGTTCTTCCCTGGGCTGGCAGAGCTGGAAGTTACACACGTTGTCTCTTTATTTGGACAAATCTGGTCTGAGAAAAGAAAGCCCTGATGTAAACAGCACTTGCCTGTTGTGACAGCTGGACCAAAGGATATGGCTCATATTAAAAAAAGAAGCAGCAAATTAAAAACAAAAAGGAAGGAAAAAAAGTGCCTGTGAAACGTTTGATGGCAAAATGGACTCATCAGACACGAAGCCACGGCTTAGTCTTGGAATGGCAAAAGATGATGAATAAGCACCCATTAAAAATCATTCCCCTTACAAGTTTTTCCATGAAACGTGTCCCTCCTCCAGCACAAAGAAAGGGAAAATGACCCAACTGTCTGCAGCTTATTTTAGTTTCTAGTTGGTTGGGGTTTTTTAATTTCTGTGACTGTTTTCATAGTAGGATGCAGCTGAACTCACTTAAAAAAAAAAAAGATTAAAACTTTCCCTCGAGTTTACCAAATTCAAGCTTAAGGAAGGAGAGAGTTTTTGAGCTACCAATTCTGTTGCAGCAAAAAAGCTTCTGCTGAAAAATTCTGGCTTTCAAAGGCACCCCCAACTCCTCCACATGCAGCATGAAAGGAAAATATGTTACTTCGAGCCCTGGAAATGCTTGTGAACATGCCAGTAAAGTGCTTTTTGCTGGTTCTTCTCCATCTGCTGCCTGCTGTGTCCCCATGCTCGTGGCAGGACCGTGCCCTGCCCGGGGGGTTTGCTCCAGGAACGAGGCTGCTGTTGGCACTTCACCACTTTTTTTTCAGGGTTGATTTGTTGCAGGCTCTGCCTCAGACGCTGGGGAAAACCCTGGTGGAGCTCTTCTGAAAAATCTTCAATTATGTATGTCCAATCTCGCCTTTTCTTTTCGTTTTTTTGGCAGCTGCCTGGCTACAGAGGTGGTGAGATCACACTCAGCCTCGCCAGGAGCTGAAATGGCAAGACCTGAAAGGAGCTGAGAAGAAAATCTGATCCAATGCTGACGTGACAAGGGGCAGATGAGACCAGGATGAGCATCCAGAGCAAGATGCCCAAACCCAGCTGAGGTGGGAGGTTCAAACCCTGTCAATAGAGCACAAATTGAAGGGGAAGGAAGGGAAGCTACGTGGCCATTTCAGGTTGCTCCTCACTAGGACCAGACCTCTATACTTTGCACCACCTCCACCAGCCTCCCCTCCAAAGAGCGTAACAAAGTCCATGTTTTCACCAAAACCAAGCTCAACGACAAGGAAAACAGAGAAAAATACAGGAGATGAAAAAAACCATCACTGAAAGCTTTCCCACACATCATTCCAGTAAGGGTTTCATTGAGAGGAGCCACCACAAACCTGGAGAGTGAGCCCAGCACTGTCCCAGTGCCACCACTCAGCTCTGTGCCCGCTCCAGCACTTGTGTCATCCCTCTGGGGCTAGAAACCCCAGCAGATTAAAAAGCCCCTCCTCATCTTCACATCCTCAGCTCCACCCCAACGCTTCAGTCCTCCACCTCTCCCTGCATTTCTGGGAATAGTGAGATGCAGCCCCTTGGGAAGCTCTCCCTCCTGCCAGCCGCTGTGGAGCAATTACACGGCTCCGAGAACATCTTATAAATGAATTATAGGCTGCTTTTCCCCTTCCTAGCCAAAAGCCTTTTGGAAGAGCAACTTTCTAATTACATTAGAAGACATTTGGCGGAAAAAAAAAAAAACAACAAAACCCCAAACAACAAAAAGGCAACACACAGTTTGCATACAAAACGTGGAAGGGTCGAGGCTGCTTCACCAGCTCCCAGCCCGTGGGCTGCTGCCTGCTCCCCGTGCAGGAGGCAACACGTCAGCCCCACGGAAGGCTGTCATCAGCCAGACATCAATTACTCTTGTCTGAATGCCCTTGTTTCCATCCTTGCTGCAAGGAACCATTTGTCTTGGAGAGACTGGGTGGAATCTGCAGAAACAGCGTCTTGTGGGTGGGCTGGTGGGGCTTGAATTCACCTTTCTGATGCTTCCCCTTCAGTGCAGGGTCTGCTTCAGACCAGGGAGGGATCCTTTAACTCCCACTGGGTTCTGCCCAACCCCTGTGCCCCCAGGGAAGGAGCCAACCTGTGCCCTGCTCAGCTCCAGGGGCTCTTTGGTGCTGCTGTTGCAAGGACCAGCTCCCCCCAGACTCCACAGTTCCAGAGGTGAGGAAGGGAGGAGCTAATTTCAGTTTGCATCCATCTAAAAGCCAAGGAAATTTTGGCCTTTCCACGGAGCAATCTCAGTCTGTGGGAGGAATCCATGCCCAGCTCCAGCTGAGCACATCAGGTCTCCCTACAGAGCTCCAGCACACGGATGCCTCACTCTGAGGGGCTGCAGCATGAGGGGGGGCACAGGAGACACATTCAGGGCAAAAGCAAGATGCTGAAGTGCACGGTGGTCTTCTTAAGGCTCCCCAAGATGCTTGCCTGATGCACCCAGGACCAGTGTATCATCAGCCTGACCCTCCTGGCATCACTTTTGGTGAAGCACTGGGTTATATTGGGGATTCAACGGGGCTTTTTTTGCCGCTGGGGCTTTTTGGGAGCAGTGCCTGGAGCAGCTGCTCCATCCTGAACGCAGTTCTGCTCCACAGGGGTGGTCTTGGGAGTGGAAAGTTCAGGTGGAAGGGTTTCAGTGGGGATATTCTGGCTGGCATGTTGCTCCTTTTTGTCTTCTCTGCTCTCTGCCTGGCCAGATAACAGCACACGGTGCCTTAAACCCCACCAGAGCCAGAGCAAAACTGCAGCTTCCTTCTCCTCCCTTCCAACAGCACCACAGCCTCCAGCAGCTCCCAGGGCTGCAGGATGTTTCCAGCCAGCACCACACATCCCCCAAAAGCAGGATTTGCCCCCACTGGAGGACAGGCAATAAACCTGTCACTGCTCTCCCTCTTTAAGAGGAGCTTTGGGGACACTAATCCAGGATTTTAGAACATAATTTTTTTTATTACTCTTTAGAAACCAGCTTCATCTGTCTGGTCTGGGGATGCTGCTAACACAGCTACAAGACAAGCTCCTGAGGTAGAGCTGCTTTAACCAGTTTGGCCTGTTCTGGTTTCTAACCACTGTGAGCCCCTTGTCAATATTAGGACAGCCCCAGTAAAACCTGCAAAGACTGAGACTCCTCCTCTGCAGCCACACAAACCTCCAGATAACCAGGCAGAGCAAGCATTTAGAATGAAAATAGATGTAAAAAAAAGAGACAACAGGGAAACTGAGGCACAAGAAGGAGGTGGGAGCCACTGGATAGGTCAGTGACCAGGGTGATGCCCCTCTGAAGGCATCAGCATCCCTGGTTGTGTTTCTCCAGGGTGGGTCTCCCCAGGAGTCCTTGTGGTGGGTCAGCTCCATCAATGTGGACATCCCCCCCAGCGTGGGTTGGTTTCCTACAGAGCTGTCAAGGCACCAACACTCTGGTGTCTCCCCTCTTTGATTAAAGAGGGAATTAAAAGCTCTTCTAAAGAAGAAGCAGAGGAAAAAAAACCTTTAAAATCAATAGTGGGGGAAGGTGAAAAATTCCTCTCTATTACCAACCAGAAAAAGAGCCACGAGCAGAGGGTGAGGGCTGAAGGTTTCTACCACCCCCAGCTCAGTGGGGATCAGTGGGGCACATGCTGATTCATGCCAAGAGATTCATGCCAAGGGGGGTTTGGAATCTCTCCAGAGGAGGAGACTCCACAACCTCTCTGGGCAGCCTGGGCCAGGGCTCTGGCAACCTCACAGCAAAGGATTTTTTCCCTCCTGTTCAAACAGAACCTCCTGGGTTCCAGTTGGTGCCTGTT